TTAATAGAGAGTGTCTGTCATTCGTTAGTGGACAGCCCAGCCTCAACCCGTGACAGGCTTGTTTAGAACAACAATATTTCTAACCAATATCATTTCTATGTCATATCCCTCTTGTTTTCACTTTCTCATTCTTCCTTGCAGATTCCAGAACATAAGAGCTCAGAGGTGTCTGCTTCTTACATTTAATTCCTGCAGGCTATCTCCTAACGCAGCTCTCCCTCTTGACAGGGACTTGCTTGGTAAATGAGGGGAGATACATGATAAAGCACAGCATGGAAAATTTGGGTCTAGCAGCACAAATGGCCTTTGAACTACAAATTCCTGAGCTCATGCAAGAAATTGAACCTTGTCACTGACTGGCTCAAAACAAAGCATTTCCTGTCAACTGAACAAATCAAAGTATTTTTCTTTGGAGAACGCTGGAACATTCTTAAAATTACTCTATTTTAATTTGCATCCTACAAAAATTTTCACAGCTGCATATCCTTGTTGCAACTGGGGATAAAATCAATATTATTTCCATGGAAGTCTTAAACTCACCATTTGAAGTCTTAAAACTCACTTTTCTCTGAAAAGAAGTAAGCAACTTACATTTAAACTTCTGGTACTTTGAATAGTATGTGAACAGATCCTTACGACTCAGGAAAAAATCCCTGTTTTTATTTACAAGTATATAACAACAGTATAGACCAGCAGACTTCACATGGATTTGCTTCATCCCGCCTGGTAGTTCATTCTGAGAACCAAGACCAGGTTTATTAAACACAGCATGAAGTCCTGATGAGCAACTGCTTCTAAGTGGGGAGCAGCTAACAAGGTATTTGGCTCCTTTCCACAAGAACTACAACTGAGACTCTGCATTAATGCATGACTAAATCCAGTTTATTTCTCAAAAGCTAATTTACTTTAAAGAGTAAAGAAAGATGCCACCTCTATTAACGCATAGTTCATAGCACTCTTGATTTTGGAAGGTGGATTTTAACCCACTCCATTACAGAAACACCTGATTCATGTCACTATTTCCACTAAAAAACTCCAGAGTATATTTGAAGCTCATCTGAAGACTACACACAGGAAGGGGACTCCAAATAGTCTCGACAGAAGCTTTGTCTAAATTTGACTTTTACAATACCTTTTCTGAGTAAATTTTAAAGCTCTTCCACCCTAAACCATAAACCACTTGAGCACAAGTAGCAGGTATGATAAGAAATTAGTAGCAACGGCATGCCAGTCCTTAGCCTTTCTGTCGGGGATAGCCTGGCTGAGGAAGATGAAATCGGCCTCGACAGCGTCCTAGTATACCCGTGAGAAGATGAAAGAAGTAGATGAAGAATGTTGTAAACAGGTTTGAGGAGGTGATAAAAGACTGAGCAAGGAGAGACTGAACAAGTGAATACCACAGAGCAGAAATTTGGAAAGAGAACAGTAGATGAAGTGGGAAGTACAGTTGGAGCTCCAGCCGGTCAGTATGTGAATAGAGGCGAATGGACAGAGCTATTGAGCGAATCATTATAACAGCCTTAGTTCATGAACCGGTGGACAGATAAGAAAGGTTATAAAGGGGAATGCTTTTTCTGCTGCGCCAGCTCGGCCATCTTGGCTTTTTGTAACTTAATAAAGGCTGCCTTCTTACATATATTTTTGTCAGTGTCGGTCCCTACCGCAACACCTTTCCATCTCTATTACTGGTTTGCAAGATAAAATTCTCTGTCAAAAAAGAAATCAGCTGAAGCAATATATCTATTTTATTTAAATAATCAAAGCAATCACTTAATGCTTTCAGCTTTCAGTCAGCACCAAATTGAACTGGCAGCCCTAAGATGGTAATTTTCATTGAGCCACCCGGTTTCTTCAAATATTCCATTTACTTTCTTGGTAGCTTACAGGCAATACGTAGACAATCCCAGTAAAGGGGATTCAGTTTTGAGGCTTTTTATTCTTGTAAAAGCCCATCAGGGGTAGAGTTGCTGAGAATCAGAATCCCAAAACAAAAGCTTACCATATAACTTAACAAACACATTTCATTTTTGCCCACTGCCAAGCCATTTGTAAACATACCTTCTCTCTGTTGCTATGAGCTGTCAAGGACCTCTGAGCAGCTCCACGCAGAGCAGTTCGGTAATTATAAAAATTGCTAGAAGGGTCCATCTGATGCTACAAGGCATGGGAAAATGTAAATAATGAGCCAGTGTCATCACCACAGGCAACTCCTTTTCACTTGAGTAACTATTTTAAAAAGCAAGAGGTCTGCTGAACAGCACCACAACTACGGACTTTTAGAGGACTGAAGTATCTCTTTATCTATTTATTTAATCAGAAGAGAACCTTGTTTTAAAAAATGTTCATTCAGCACCACAAGGGATCCTATACAAGTCAGGGGCAGGAAAGCAAAGGCAGGCTTCATGGATCTTCTTTCTCTCTCCACAAAGGTAGCTCAGCTTTAATTCAAAAGCCAAAACGAGGAAACTAAGACAACAATGAGTCTGGGCACTAATATTCTGCTCTTCCTATTATGCAGGTTTTTCAGAGCTGATTCAGTTGCGATGACAAAGTGAGATTAGACACCTAAAGCTGTTAGTGCCCCCACCTCACTGCTCCAAGACTGACTGCTGCACCTCAATGACTAAGATGACTGCATGGCTCCCAAAGCACATCCTTAACCAACAAAGCCCAGCCTGCATAATAAAGTTGAATGAAATAGTGCTGTAATCTCAAGAGCAATTTCCTGAGCTGTGCAGCCACATTTGACACAAAGAAGGGTATTTCCCACCCAAAAGTGGAGGAAGAGTGAGGTGGCTACAGCCACCCAGTTTTAATTTGTTGTCATAACACAAGTCAAATCTTCTGATGTTAATAATAAACATTTCATGCTTGCATCAGGCATAAAACATTACATTATCTTTAACTTATTAATAAATAACTGAATTAACTTATTGCCATTTACAGCAGAATAATTAATTTGTTGGTAAATTATCTGTTGGGTAGATCACAAACTCATACACTGCTGCACCTACATGATCTTTGACAAAGGTCTCTACTACCTGAAGGTAATCGGCAATCAATTAGTTCAAGACAAACTTCTCTGAAAGAGCAAGGCAGCAACCTTACAGTTCAACTTGATTTTCAAAGGCAGAACTGCATTAGGTCAATCCACACCATCCCTCTCAAATTCAAGAAATTGCCTACATTTTTATTATTTTTTTTTAATATTCTTAGGAGGTGGGTTTGGAAATTAAAAAAAAATTACTTCATTTCCTTCTTCCAAATAAAAAGAGCACAAGTGAGCTGAACAACTCTTATTACATCTGCTAGAGTTTCCATTAAGAGCACAAACATACTAAATTGAACATGTCATAATGAAGCCGAAATCACATTTTAGAGCAGTTAAATTAAGAAGTAAAGTGCTATTAACAGCCCTGTGTCCAAATATTGGTCAAACTTACCTCAAGAATATCAAATTTGGCTGTCTTCACTTTTGCCCAAGTTTTCTTCAACCGAGAAACAGGACTCATGTTCATGCCGGCTTGATATAAGGGAGAAATTGTTGGAGTATTTAAAAAAAAAAGTCTTTCAAGTAGCTAAGGCTAGTATTTCTAAAGCAAAGGTGCTATTAACAGCAAGAAATATATTCCACAAAGCTACTCAGAAATCAGACTCATCACTTCCTTGAAATTCCAACATTGAAAACAACTTTGGAAACAAAAATCCACATCTCACACAACGAAAACTCTAAAAAAATGCTCTGACATTATTTAATGTGTTTTTGAATGAATATACAGTAGAAAAGTGCAAATAAGTTCTCAACACTGTATCTTACATATTTCATTGAAAACTACACTTATCTATGAATTTTCCACATTTAAAATTAAAATATATTCCAAATATTTTCCTATCAGATATAAAAAGGTGTGGAATTTTTAAACCACTAGGATACTTACAGTGTGCTAGAAACAATGGAAGATATCAATCCTCCATATTACAGGAGTGTTTTTATTCCAATTTAGCACTGAAGTTGGTTTTAAAGTGGGGTTTCAGATCTCTGAACAGTTGCAATGAACACTTTGTTTTTCTGTAACTTACAGTATGGCAGCAAATAATTTCTTACACACATAACACTACAATAATTTTGAGCAATTCTCCATCACTTCCCCTCCTAACTTCACATTGCTGTGCGTGCTAAGCAGCAGACTTTTGTATAAACCATCGTCCTTCCTTTATCTGGATTCAAAGGGTGACAAAAAGTCTCAGGACACATACTTACAAATAATAGCCATTAAGGAGTTAAAGTTGCCAATGTTAAAACATTCCCGTGCCACATCAACAAAATATTCTATCACTCTTGCTCTGTGCTTCTTCTTCAGAGGCTGCAAAAGATGCCATTGGAGTGTTACAAAAAACAGAACACACTGACCCATCCCCAAAAGAAACAACACGCTTGTTAAAAGTCTTTTATAACTGTACTGCAATTTCACACTATGCTTTACATGTAGAGCAAGCCACACTATTAAGTTCAAAAGTCCTCAGGACAGCACAGACAACCCAGATACCAGGCAGGTAGAGAGCAAGGGCAATAGGTAAAGAGGCTCTGCCAGGAAGAAGGGTACAAAGAACAGTAAGGCAGAGAAGCGGGGTCATGATGGTCAGCACAGAGGAGAGAAAATATGCCTCCATTCACAAGGGGCATTCACAGGACAGAAGGGCAGGCGCTCCTGTGCCAAGAAGGGCTAACCCAGCAAAACATCATCATTGTGTCACATGAACAAGGCTGAGGCATAAGTACGATGCTGAAAAGACAGAACTAACTTCCTCTTCAGCCCTGCACTGTCTTCATTCACACATGAAAAAGGCATACTGAAGGGCACCAAACATGAAAAGCCTTCACAGTTTTAGAAAACTAGACTAAACAAAACATTTTAACAGAAAAAGTCCTTGCTCACCACACAGATTTCTGTTGCAACCAAATAACTGAGCCTGTTAAACCATTCCACATAGGCTTCCAGATTCCGGGTCTTCTTTTGATCTCCATAGCAGCTCTGCAGACAAAAGAAAAATAGTAACTTATAGTTGTCTACTTTCTTCATCTTTTCCCTGAGAGAGACCTTTTGACTTTCTGCCTTGCCATCTCCAAACACTGTTGAGTAACCAGGAATAAACTCAACCACCCAAAGAGACAAAAAGCTTAGAGAGAAAGCAGAAGTGATAGTATTTGAGTGTGCATAACTTCTTTCTGAGCTGTTGGCTCAGTAAAGCACTCAAGCAGGCATGTGGAATCCATTGCCTGCTGTAAGTCCCACCAGGATGCTTTAAGGACTTAGTATAGACTTATGCAAACAATCAAAGCTAAGTATCTGTTTAAAGCTTCCTTGAATATGAGCACTGTTTCAGTATTCATTCTTGTCCCACTAACATAGTAGAGACAACATTATGCCCTCTGCAAGTCCAGAAGGAAAACAGAAACCAGCCCACTCAACTGGCACATTATGTTCAGTTGTTGACTCCAAATTAATATACTTCATCCTAAACGTGGGACATCAGCTCTACCATTTTGATTGGATCCTCCCTTTCCTAACCAGTGCTATTTGTTCTGTGGTGTCTTGGAACAATTCCCACACCATATCTCAGGGTTGTCTAAAAAGGAGTAGACAGCAGTTTTAGCGATCTCTACCTAGGAAAAAAAAAAAAGAGACCATCTGAACATCAAATTGTAAACTTGAGTCATTCTATTCCGTTTGTCAGTTTTAGGGAGGACAGTAATTAAAGTTTTAACTGCCTGACTTTGGCACAGTTTATTTACAGAGCGTAAGTAATCTTGAAAGCAGCACTCAAGGAGACTACAACTCTGGCACGGTTAGCTAAAAACACTGCATGAGCTCACTGGCCCCTTTTTGTGATGTGTGCTTTACCTGCAAATTTCCCCACTTGCCAGTTTGCTGCAAAGAATTCAGTTTACTAGAAGGAAGAACAGATGTTGAAAATGAGTAACAAAAAGCCAAAGTTAATCTCAAGTTTTTCCAGCTGTAGACCACATAGGTGGCTTGGAGAAAACACTCAAAGGATTAAGTTCTCCCTTAGCTTAAATAGAAAATACAGCAAATGTGTTTTTAAGTCAAATTTCTTGTCTGAGTTCTGGAGCTCCAGGAGTTGTCCTGCAGTAAGAAAAAACACCAACAAAATTTTTAAGAGGAATATCAAAACATTTTCACTATAAAGCTTGTTTCTGCTGGTCCTCATTTATACCTGGACCTCACTTCCAGCTCATGGGGCACCTGAGCTCCAGGCTGTTAAATGCTGCATTTCAAAGCTGCTCCAGATCTGCTCCAATTACCTTGTCATTATCCAAAGGATCCTTTTGCACAAATGCCTGGACAAATTCTTCTGGTCCAATATGACTGAGTCTCTCCTAAATAAAGCACATAAGCAGACAAGTCATATCCTATGTTAACCTGCATTTAAAAAGAGGGGAAGGATGAAATCATACTTGAAGTATAACAACTCACAAGCTCTATGCGAGTCAACTGCTGAGCTAACATGTAGGGATCATTGCAGACTGTGATTATGTCCCTCTGGATAGACTGGGGCTTGGTCTTTAGAACTGTGAGGCAATCTGTGGACGTGGCATTAATTTTTGCAAGTACTTCCTCATACTGGCTAACAGTGGCGAGCTTCCAAATCAGGTTCTGGAGGAGCTGTTGTACATTCTTCCGATACATCTGTCATGACATGAAACAATTGGGAGACATTTTCAAAATGTGAGAAGATAGTATTAAAGTCTGCATGACACCAAAATAGATTGATGCTGATACCTGTATTTGTTGTTGACCTAAGATACCCTCTAATAGGCGAATTTCTAATATTGGTATTTCATCAGCCCAAAAGGAATGCAGTCAAGGACTTAAACACTGATTGTCTCACAGATTCAGTACTGACCTGGTTAGCGCAGTGAACAGCAGAAAAGACGTGCACAATCCACTGCATGAAAAGTACCACCAATTACTGAACAAAGCACAAGAAAGGAAAATACTCCATCTTCTCCTGCTTAAGACCACAGAAAAAACAATATATGGCCATTCAGCGATGGAAAAAGGACATGTTTTTCCTTTGAGTAAATCAAGACAAGTTTCACTGAAGTCAGAGTTAAAACTTGCAGTAAATCTGAGAAAAAGGAGAAGACAATAAAACCATCTTTCTTTTCTTTCACCTTGCAGGCCTTTCCATGTGGCAATTTTAAGCTAACTGGAGTGACAAAGTTAAGTTAGGAGTAGGACTTGACTCTTGAGTACATAGATCTGTGTAACTGACCCCAAGGTGGTTACTCTTCCAAATTTGGGATGCTAAAGCCATTAGAGTGAAACCTAAGTGTCTGAAAAAGGGATCATCCAAAACCTATGGGCAGCACAGTATAGTGTGATCAGTCCAAGGCAGGAATGTTTCCTTTACTCTAATGAATTTGTCATTCCCTCCAAAGCTACCATTTATATGGATTTCCAAATTTACTCAAATGCAACAGCACTGTCTTGAGTCAGATTGATTCTTGAAGTCGGCTGTGTTCAATCAAGGCTGAATTTGTCTTGTACCTTGGTAAATAATTGCTTTCTGCTTAGATGTATTTTGATTATCTAGACAAATACACCATAATTTTTCACTAGGGTGGGGAGAGAACAGGGGGATTTCAAGCTTTTAAAGAAAAGGATCTACATTTTCCTCAGGAAGAAACAGAAGTATTACTTCAAGTGCTGTGCTTCCATAAAGAGGTGTTAGGTGACACACATACAGACTTGCTTCACTTACCCATTCCCTTCCAAATTCTTTAAAATTTCATGTAAGAGAACATTTTTCTTGCTCAACTGGTAATCAACTGAGAATGAAAAAAACATCTAAAATACTCAGGATGAATTCTGACTACTGATGGAAATCACGTAATAATCAGTGGGTTAAGCTTCAAAGCAAAAAAATAAACCTTGCCTAAATTTGGGTTCATGTCAACTCAGAACTGACAACAAAATCTGGGGGAAAACTGGTGAAGACACAAAGCTGAACAACCTAATGCTGGTCAATTTGTTTCTGTAGCTGGAAAACCCCAAAGAAAAGGCAAACTGGCACAGAAAACCTCTAAACCAGAACAAGAAATCAGGGTAATAAGACAACATCTGATATAACAGCAGTTCAACGTAACAAACATCCCTCTGTCCAGTCATGAGGCAAAAAGGCAGCAAAGCAAAAGGAAATGAGTTTCTTCTCACACCTCACAGATGTACGTGAGCCAACAAAACCAACATCCCTCTGCTCTTTTGAGCCTCAGTCTCCTCTTGAGCAAAGAGGCATTTTGTGTGAGAATAAGTACGTACTGTACTTTGCACTATAACAGTTATTTATTTGCTGCTGGACCATTATTTAATCTCATGCATTTTTTTAATACCATATATATAGATACGTATTTAACAACACACCAGTGAACTCAGCAAAAGACAAACTCAACTTGGGGATAACAACACACATTTAATAAAAAACAACCACCACCATTAAGGACAATGAGAGATACAACCAGGTCTTAA